GGGCTTATTTTAGCACATGTGCTCAAAAGCCCGACTGGGCTTATTATCCAAGAAGGTCCTATTTTCAGGGAAACAGGGTAATAAAGTGAACTTAGTTGATCGTCCGAGAAAGCTTTCTGTGTTTAGCTGAATATGAGTGACGAAATAATAAGGAAAAAACATGGTCCACCGACATGTAAAATTTCATAATTGAGATTTAAATAAAAGAGTGCGTCTTTTTTTTTTTATACCTCTTTTAGTTTTGGAAGTCGAAGAGTCCGGAATGTATCAGCTGCTAAATACATGCACAAACTTTCTGCGGTAAAATGTCTTCCGCTCATGCTTTGTTTTTAAAGGGTCAGCCAAAAACTGGAAGTATGGTTTTGAATATGTAATTTGGGAAGAGAGACTAAGCGGTGGGGAGGTACAGTTCCTGTTTATCTATGCAGTAAAGAGGAAGTAGACAACACTGCTTTAACAAACATTTCGGAGCTTTAAAAAATATCGCTCAATGTCTGTGGAGAATCTCAAGTCATCCTCGGTTTGCAAAGAAAGAAAGAAAGAAAAAAAAAGCTGACTTATGTTTTCGTACCTGTTCAAAATGAAGGTGTTCTTTTATTCTGTATTTTGGACCCCTTTTGCAGTAGCCTCCTCTGCACAGAGTCTCAGGTATCTGTGGTCGTATAGGAAGGTGTTCTGACCGAGGCTTCCCAAGAGCATGAAGCAAACTCCTTGTCCCGACAAAAAACCCTTTTATTAATCTATTGTGAATTCTGCTCATTCACATCCAGCAAAGTCTTTCAAGAGGGGGATTTACAGTCACCGACCTTATCTGGCTTGGAGAGCTGCCAGGCTGATGTCTGCAAAACCTGGCAAGGAGTCTCGGAGAGTCACGAGCCAATTAAGCGAGCGAATTGTCTCCTGCAAACTCCACTCCTTTTTTGCTCCTCTTTTATTTCCTCTGGGAGGGGCTATTCATTGTCCACCTGTGGGCCTTACTCCCAAGTTGACCCCTGTTCTTTAGCTGCTCCCTTCGTCTGGCAGCTGTGTGCATACTGGGAACAGGCTCCAGCTGTTCGTCTGCCTCACTGATGTCTGACTTTGAAGGCAGCTGTGAACTGCCAGACTCTTGGCTCCCAACCAGCAAAGTCAATAGGAGAAGCCAGATTCGCTGAATGACCACGTGATTCACTTAACAACTGCAGTGATTTGCTTAACAACTGGGACAGAAAAGGTGGTAAAATGGGGCTAAACTCAGTTAACGACTGGCTAAGGAATCAAAATTTTAGGGTCGATTGTGGTTGTAAGTTAAGACTACCTGCGTGTGTTTTCGGCAATGGTGGGTTACAGATGGTACGCCCTGATACGGGCATACCGGACCCTGCCCGGAGCCCCGGGTACCGTTCCAGTACAGTGCTCCGGAGGGCTCGCCTACCCACCCATGCTCCCTACCTGTCTTTAAACTATTTGGCGCTTCCGCGAATGCGTGTGGTGCGCATAGCGCCTACACGACGTTCTGCCGAGCAGCTGGAGCGTTGCGGAGGTGTCGCTGGACGGTAAGACGCGTGCGTGCGCTGCGCGTGTTCACATGGAGGACGCCAGGCCCCATTGCAACCGTACCAGTTGCAAAGGGATCCAGAACCCACCACCGGTTTTCGATCAACAAAACATTGCCATCAGAACATTGAGGCCTTGAGCGGGTTTGACAATCTTACGGGTAATTGCTTTAATCATTTTTAAAATTTTATTTAATTGGGAGGGTTGTGGATGTCATTTAGGTTGGATGCAACAATGCTGACCTCCGAGAGAGGTCAATCCTATTTAATGTAACTCTTTGTATTGCTTGTGAAGGGGGGGAGGATGGGGGGTTCTTTTTGTAACCGAAAATGTATCAGAATAGAATAATGAAATTATTTCCTTGCTTCTGGCGCTCAGAATCTCCTTCCTCCCTTTTGCAGTGGTAACCGCTCTTCTAAAACTTTTAAACCAAAGAAGAACATTCCGGAAGGCTCCCACCAATATGAGCTGCTGAAACACGCGGAGGCAACTCTTGGAAGTGGCAACTTACGGATGGCTGTTATGCTGCCCGAAGGCGAAGATCTAAACGAATGGGTCGCAGTGAACAGTAAGGAGAATCTGCCTTGGTTCTGTGTATGTTTTCAAGCACTGATGCATGAGGGTGTGGAAAGCACCATTTTTTATTTTATTTTTTGTATTTAATGTAATCCAGGGATCTCCCACTCGATTTTATTGATCAGGGTTGTGTTTGATCTCGGGAGGGCCGGAGGGGGCGTGGCCAGGGTGAGCGCAGCCAGTTTGACATCACTCGTGGCGGTGGCACTTGTGGTGGCTTGAGCACTCTGCCAGCAAAACTCGAGCTCGGGTTGGGTTGTGACGGCCTCCTGCAGCCCTCTGCCCCCAAGCTCCGTTTTTGCTGGCAGAGGGCTGCAGGAGGCTATTGTGGCCAAAAACGGAACCTGGAGGTGTGTGTGTGCCTCCCCCCCAAAGCTCCGTTTTTGCTGGCAGAGGGCTGCAGGAGGCTATTGTGGCCAAAAACGGAACCTGGAGGTGTGTGTGTGCCTCCCCCCCCAAGCGCCGCTTTTGCTGGCAGAGGGCTGCAGGAGGCTATTGTGGCCAAAAACGGAACCTGGAGGTGTGTGTGTGCCTCCCCCCCCAAGCGCCGCTTTTGCTGGCAGAGGGCTGCAGGAGGCTATTGTGGCCAAAAACG